TGCACTGCGCACCGTGAAAATTGAGAATGCCATAACGCTTGCTTATTCTACTATGGAAAAGAGGTAATGCTGGGAGTCGGTATCGCACAAGATTCCGACCACTCTGTCGAACATGGCACCACGGTTGTGAAGCATGGACCCCTTTTCACATGAGGAGACAGTTAAACATTCAAATTACTGTTGTAACGCGGCAAAAGGCAGAATACCAAAAGCACTCTGACTACTACTTGCAGCATATGCCCAGTAAGAGCGGGAAGCAACCCAGATGGGCGAAGTAACAGTGCAAAGTCGGGCAGTATGTAAATACAATGCAACCTACTACGGACCAGCTCTGCAGTCGCCCGACAGTTGCGTACAGATAAGATGCTGAACTCACTACCCTATGTTTCGTCGTCCAGCATGGAGTACTGGCTTCATCCTGTCTGGCCGCTGCCCCAGACTGGAGAGGAATTCAGTGGTGTTTTGGCCTGTAGCTGTGTGCGGGAAGGAAGCAGTATATAGTGGTTTGCAGCACACCTTTTCGGAACCTCTGGTGGAAAGCATCATTCGGCTCAAGAACACTTGTGATGCATATAGCAACTTCCGACAGAGCTACGTCCACTGCGGGCCATGCCGGCTGTCTGATGAGTCTTCAGGCAGCTGTGTTCACTTTCTATCCCAGCATGCTGTATGTCTTTCTCAAGTTGATTCTTTAGAAATGCGGCGATGCGCGCGAATACAGTTGAAGTTCCTGTAGTAAGGTGCGGAACCGAGGGACTCCTGGGGGTCCGTCCGAGTAGGGGTGGCGGCCACTTCCGAATGGCCTCTACCTTTAAATGATCTGGTTCGTCGCCTGCTTCAGACACACGAACCCAAGGACGGTACTTGACTACACGAAACACTAGCTCTTTTGTGCCTCCAAGGGCCAATGCTTCTCATATAGCAGTTGCAGAGCTCGCCGTAGTTGCTCCAGGCACTCCTGCTGGAGTGCACCGGCACTACAACAGTGCTCAAATCGGTCCTCTAGCGGCCTGCCGAGCAGAAAGAGTAAACGAATCAAGTAACATGAGATAGAAAAAGAAGCCTGGAGCCCAAGGCTGCTCGGCAAGGACCCCACGTACGGGTGTTAGGCTGGCACTGCCGCCCAGGCGCTGACTCGCTGAAGGGTCACAAGCGAGAGTTATGTTACTCTTGGTTCTCTTTTTTAAAGGTATGAGATGCGAATGTGGTTTTTAAGGGTTCTGCCCTTTATTTTCGTTAATCAAGGGAAGATTCGTTGAGCGGGCGATAGATACTGAGCGTGCACCTAAGTGACTGTATAGAATAGCACATACTAGCATAGTAACAGCCGTGGGTGAGAGCTGTCTACTATATTTGGGGGCTGGTCCGGAAAATTTGAACCCGAGACTTGTTCTACGCAATGTTCAGTCCGCAACTGCTCACGTTAGTGAATCTTTACGCCAATGGAGAGAAGACGCCAGAGGCAGAGTCACTTATGCGACTGCGCAACGGGAGCATTTTGGGTGCGGACCATAGGCAGGTCCCGAAGGAGAAAAGAACAACAGGATACAAGACTCCTAGTGCAGTAGGCAAGGGCGACGAAGAGACATCCATTTCATCAATCGAGTGGCACCGTCAGTGGAGAAGTTACCGGGCAGTCGAGCAAATGAAACCCCCTGTCGAACCGACGACCCGACCCCAGGCCACGACTCTGATAACGACATACAGGACCCGAGATCTCCGGAATTAATTCAGCATAGCAGGCCTGTTATCCACATAACTCCTGAGAATGCGGAAACTGTGAGGGAATTCCTCCGAGCCTATCATGGTTACGTGAGGCGTCTACTGAGCTGAAGTCGACCGTAGGCACGATAAATGAAAAATTGAACGGGCGCAATAGACGCTGGGTTGATGCAAGGAAGCGGCAAAGGAGGCAAATCCCGCGAACTACGAGACGACAAGGGACTCAGATGTATAGACTGTAAAGGCAAGGGGCGGTCGGCGCGTCATTCTCCCTCACGCTCTGATATGTTAAGGCGAGCAGGGGAAATATGTAGGGAGTGTGCAGATATGGGACTCTACGCTAGAAATTGCCCAATGAATAGTCGCTTGAGGTGCGAGGCAGAGTGGAGACATCGACCGCAGCCAACACCACCCGGTGGATACAGGGGTAGCACGCAGCTTCATCAGTGCTAATATGGTCGAACGTCTACGGCTTAAGGTATGGCGGCTTTCAGAGGAATATAGGTTCACAGTAGCTAATGGTGAATAGTCAAGTATTGAACGTGTCGTGAAGGGGTTGACGATGCGGTGTGGACAAGAACGTTTCTCGGGAGGTCATCTAGTAGGCCCTGTTGATTGACAGACTGTGTATAAGGTTGCTTGGTATTTCCAGTCTGACAATCTGAGAAATTATAATGGCAAGTGGTATGAGTTACGTGTCTACCGAACTAGTGAAGAACAACGTGAGAAAAAGGACCCTTGCAGAGAAGGCCTACGACATATTGGCCAAAGAATGCCCGCGGAAGAGGCCGCAACACTGTTACACCCACCGCGCGGAACCAGGTGGCAGATGCGTTGCCCCGACTCCCTTGTTACCTACGTTGCGGCCTGCACACACACACACACACACACACACACACACACACACACACACACACACACACACACACAC